GGGGTGGGGGAGGGATCAGGTGTGGGCAAAACAGGGAAGTCCCTGTGGGTTTCAGGGCAGAGCAACTGTCACAACAAGCCCAACCAGCACTGCGGCTCTTGCCACCCCCATCCTCTGCCTAGGCTAACAGGACCTGGGACACTGCTTGGGAGGAGGTGGTGGGAAAGCTCAGAGTGGCTACACCAACCCCTGCCTTAGTGCTCTTCCCATTAAGCCATGGGCTGGCACCACCAGGGCCCCTGCCCAATAAATGTGTACCAGAGAAGCCTGGGATAAGGAGAAACAATGGAACTAGAAGGGATCCCCTAACCTGAGCCCAGGGAAATTTAGTTCATGGTTCATGGGTGTAGTTCAGTTCATGGTCAAAGCTCTGCACCACTCCTGTGGGGTCCTAGGCTAGTGACCCTTTTCTGGTTCCTCAGAGGGTCACACTGGTTTCCCAGCACCTGAGGTGACCAGCCTGTGGAGCTGGAACTTAGGGGGTCTCAAGGTTCCCAAAGCTTCCACAGTTCAGGCACAGAAGCCCGGAGAGGTGCAAGGACTTACTTAAGACCACAGAACAGCAGCAGAGAGCTGGAGGGAGCAGAACTTCCTGTGGCCAGCTTTCCTGAAGCCTGAGCTGGCTACATGGTTGGGGTCCTCTGCCAGCCGCCACAGTGGCCTTCTGCCCAACAAGGAGGCCCTCTGTAGCCCAGGGCTCAGGGCCTAAGCTGTGCAGCCCAGGCCAATGAGACTTCTCGCGTACTTCCTAAATGTCATCTTCCACTGAGAAATACACAGGGCCAGCCAGGAAAGGCTGCTCCTGGGCAGGATGGAGACTCCATACATGGCTAGGCTGCAGGGGTGTGCTAGCGGCCTGGGAAGGTATCACTTGGGCTCAACTGGGAATAAAGAGAGACACGGAGAGACCTAGGCTGGGCTGTCCCCATCAGTTGGTGGAAATTTAACTCCTCTTGGTAAATGGAACAGCAGGTGCCTGCCACAAGACACCTCCGCAGCCTTCTTTGCTTTTGTTTACTGACTTAATTCCTTCAGATCAAAGGCTGCCCCTTCCTCCCCAACCAGGCAGACAGGGGAATTACATTATTTATATTGGAAATGGGCAAGGCTCCATGGGGACTTCTTCCTTATGCCTGATAAGGGAAAATTAGGTCACTGCTGTGCCTCCCTGGTGTCTGCAGTTAGATCTTTAAAGCCCAGGTACCCACAGGTACATGGAAGAGCTCTGTGTGCTGAGTCAAGTGTGGCCCACCCAGCGCCTCTCCCATCCTGAGCCTCCAGTAAATTATTGACTCGAGTGAGGGGTATTAATGTGACGGAACAAGAACATCCTTCCCCAGCAGCCCCAGTCCAGAGCTATCTATCATTTCCCAGGCTTCGCATCTGGCACTGGGCAAATAGTGAGGACAAACAGGCCAGATCAGGCTCATTAAGCTCTGGGTACAGGTGGTGGGATGAGGGCCACATGGGGGGAATAGGTGGCCTGGGGCCTTTGAGTTGTGACAGCCTCTCAGTCACCTTGGTTCTTTTTTGTGTTCTCATGCCCGAGAAGAAAGAACTCAAAGAGAGAACCACATCCCCAGGCAGTGACAAGAATTTAGGCACCATACTTCAATTTTCCAAACATCACTAGTTTCCCCAAAACCCTCTAAAATTCCCATTTAGAAATGGAAACTTACAGTGGCTGGGAAGTGGTCGAGCAGGGATTAGAACCCAAGCTTGTCTGAGGATGGAATCAGGAGCCCTCCAGGCCAAGCTGTTTCCCCAGCTCACCCCATGGCTGTGGTAAAGACTTCTTTCACATCAGCAGCCTTTATTTCTTGTAAATGATGGCAATACTGCTACATATCCACGCCCCCTTTTTCTTAGAAATCAGAGTACTTTTTGCTTCTGTTTTTTTGTTATCCTGGCAACACCCTTGAGGCACCCAGAGGTGCCACTGTCAACTGTTAGAGGGGGAAGCCCCTGGCCCCAGGGGAAGGCAGAGGCAGCCTCTACCTCAGCCCGGAGCAGAGCAGCACAGCTCAGCGGCTCAGCTGAGCAGAGCCGGCCAGGTTCTTGTGGCTCCCACTGCGGAGTTCTCAGGAGGCATCTTGATTTCAACTCGGAGGCAACATGCCAGGTGCTATTCTGAGGCCACCACCCCAGTGGGAAATGGGCATCAAGTGGAAACTGGGAGAGGACACAGTGGGGGTTCCTCTCTGAGTCAGACAGAATCCTTGCTGCGCTGATAAACGGCCCTGTAATTTGCCAGAGCTGCCCTGTCACCGCTCTGAGCCCCGGGCTGTATCCCTGCAAGCGAGCTGAGCTGCGGTCTCCCTGCTAGGTCTGGGACTGCGGCCGGCGGCCGCAGGATCCTGCCATAATGCAGTAATGACAGGCTGCCAGGGAGCCCTGCATGGCTGGGAGGGGAGAGCAAGGAGGGGAACCCTTGGCCTCTTACTGAGGAGAGGAGGCTGCCTGGGCTGTCTGAGGGAGAGGAAGTATATGCAACCGGCTCGACTCTCTCCTCCCCAGACGGGTGAAGATTGGATTAGATGCAGTTGCAGCAGCAGCAGTCTCCCCAGCACCTTCACCTGGAGCTGGGCTGCCAGCCCTTCATTATATGTGGGTGGCTCCTCATTCACTCCTGCACATGAAGGCTTCTGGGGCAGCCAGCCCTGGGGAGCAGCTGCCAGGCACTCCCCACTCAGGAGAGGCCCACAACAAAAGAAGAGCAACTGGCAAAGTGGCCAGGAAGACTGACTTGAGGATCCTACAGGGTTACAAATGCCACTCGGAAGCTCTGAGGTGCAGCCAGTAGCCTGTAGGGAATGGGCACAACCAACTAAAAACACCCGCAGAGAACTCAGCTAACTCAATACCAAAATATGAGACAATATTGTTAATTCTAACCCTGCTTACTGGGGACCTCAGGATCTCAGTGTGAGCATCTTTTTGGGCGGTCAGGTTATTTTTTTAAAAAAGGTTAACAGCTGGGGATATAGCTCAGTGGTGTAAGTACTGCCTTGCAAGCACAAGGTCCCGAGTTCAATCTCTGGTACTGCAAAAATTGAAAAAAATAAAAAAAGGTTAGGTAAAAATATTGCCTGGACAAGCTTAACAAGACCAGTAAGGAGACTAGGTGTGGTGGTGCATGCCTGTAATCCCAGCTCTTGGGAGGCTGTAAACAGACGGATCACTCTGAGTCCAATCTAATAGTGAGACCCTGAACACACTGTAGACCCTTCCTTAAAAAAAAAAAAATGCAAAAAACCCAAAAAACAAAAACAACAACAACACACACACAAAAAAACCCAACAAGACCAGTATGTGGAAAGCAACTTCTCTGGGATGACTATAAAGGAAATCAGACTTTCAGTTACTAAAATTATCAATTTACCTTTGAGAAATTAAGGATTTTTATATTTTTATCTAATAACAAGTCTAGTTACTAACTATATTTAAAGCTAACAAAATATTGCTAAAATGTATAATTCTCTAATTTTATATCTTTCTGAAATATAATAAAAAACTAGTAATCAAAAGTTTGGGAAATTTTTGTATATATCAGACATCACTTAATGACATGCTATGAAGTACAGTGGTAGGTGATTTTGTTTTTTTAGTGGTAGGTGATCTTGTGTGACCATCATTTTGCTTACACAAAGTGGCTATGACATCAGGGCCACATGAGCCCGATGGACTACTACTGTGTGTGATCCCTCACTGACCACACCATTAGAGACACATGACTATTGTGATGGGCTGTTGGCTTTTCTGGCTTGTATGACAGAGAACTAAGGTGCATTCTTACACATGTGGTAGGCAGGTCAGGTAGAAGTCCTAATAATCACTTTGTGTCACCCATCAGGTTTTAGGCTGTGGTTTGAAGAGAATTATCCTATAACAGTTTCGATTTCATTTTTTTTTTAATTTTATTTATTTACGTGTGTGTGTGTGTGTGTGTGTGTGGCCAGCTCAGCCCACCAGGGGGCGGTGCTGGCTGGCATGTGGTGCTGGGGGATTGAACTGCGGTCCCTGTGCTTTGCTAAGCTTGTTCTAAGTAGGTGCTTTAGACCACTGAGCCATCTCGCCAGCCCAACAGTTTTGATTTTAATAACAGACTTTTGATTAGGGGAAAAAAAAAAAAAAACCAAGCTGGGCATGATGGTACACACCTGTAATCCCAGCACTCAGAAGGCTGAGGCACAAAGAATCTCGTGAGTTTGAGACCAGCCTGGGGGCACATAAGCAAGTTCAAGGTCAGCCCAAACTACATGTTGAGATCCTGTTTCAAAAAAAAAAAAAAACAAGCCAGGAGTGGGTGGTAAATGTCTGTAATCCTAGCAGTTGGGAGGTTGGGGTAGGGAGATCACTGTGAATTTGAGGCCACCCTGGCCAATATAGTGAATTCAAGGTAAACCTGAACTACATGATAAGAAATCCTGCCTCAACCAAACACACACACACACACACACCCTCACATAAACTCTGCAGTGATGGTATCTCAACATCAAATGCTATCACATAACCCTGTGACAGGAGCTGCGTCTCAGCTGCTCCACAGATGGTTCCTGGGCCCTGATGCTCTTCATGCCCCTCGCTCTCCAGAGCCTGAACAGGGATTCCCTACAAGCAGAAGGGCCTGGAGGGATGCCCTTGTCTAGCACTCTGTTCTCAGAGCTAAAGTGTGGGAGGGCAGGAGCTGTGGAGAGGAAAACCAAGGCACCTGGCCCCCTGTAGGAGGGCATTTTCCATGACCCTGGCATGACCCATGTGAAGAGGGAGAGTCCTCAGGTGAAGTTGTTTGTTGGGAGCTGTTATGAGAATAGCCAGAGGTGATCCTCCTACCACCAAAAACTTACTGACATGTTATGAAGACAAGGGGCCAGTGGCAAAGTCCTGGGCAGTCAGGGAGAGTCAGACGGCCCTTTCTTCAAGAGGTAGCCCACCACACAGACTTGATCTTGCCACCCCCATGGTCTGAGTGATAAAGTGAGAAAGCTCATGACAAAGTATTACAGCTTAGGATTTTATTAAAACAATCACTTAAATTACAACAATCTCCCAGAATAGAAAATAACCTTCCGTGGTCTGGCCCTGACAGGAGGTGTTACTTGGGCCCAGCAGGAAAAAGTGTTGCTTGACATCTTCGAAAACGGATGGCACATCCCTAGAAGCCCCCTAAGGCCATCTTGGCCCCATGGCAATTGGCAGAGGCTGAATTTTTGCTAAGGCTGCCACTGCCAGAGGTTGCAAGGCCCCAGCCCTGTCAATGAGGAACACTTAGTCACTGTCACTGGTTGTCAGCCTCAGGACTTTTGAAAAAGGAAAGAGAAACATGTCTTTAAGATGACAAAACACAGTTACTCAAGAAGTGTTATATAATGCCAGGGGATGTTGTCTAGCAGGGCCAGCAGGTATATGAAGAACTGAGTGGTAACCTGTGATTGGAGGCTGCTGTGGCTGAGGTAGGGCCTCAGCAGGGAGCAGGATGCATGAACAGCTATGGGCCAGCATGGCCTCACAGGGAGCCCTGACCTTGTGACCAGGTTCGGCACCACGGTACTTCAGCCCAAGAGCTGCCAGAAGCACTCCAATGACACAGTCATGGCCAGGGCTTTAATCTCCATGGACTTCAGAGACTTCCTCACTTGACAAGCTTCCATGCTCTAAAAATGCTCCCTGGAAAGAACAGCTACCGCAGCTACAACACAATCCCCTGAAAGCCAGCCACTGCTCTCGTTCTTTCTCTTTCTACTGGGGCTCCAGACATCCTGAGGACTCCCACTTCGCCCGCAGGGAGAGCTGAGCACTCCTGGCTGAGTGGTTTCTGCCCTCCCTCCCCGTCTGCCCCAGGGCTCCAGGTGCACCTGCTGCAGCTCAGACGCCAGCCAGCCAGCCAGCCAGCTCCCGTGTGGCGACTCGGCTTGGCATTTCCCAGACTTCAGCTACACACAGCAGTTAAATTAAAAAACAAGGCCCAACATCACTTTTATAAACCATCATCATGCTCTTGTGCCCCACAGTCACTGCTGAAGATTAAATTTACAGATTGGGAGGAAATTAGGTCCTGGCAGAAACTCAAGGATGTGTTTTAGGCCTGAAAAGATAGTCAAAACACAGGAGCATGATCTGACTTTGTAAATGCTGAGGATTCTGGTCCTGAGGACACTCCCTTTCAGTGGCAACCATCCACTCTTAGGTTCCAGACTACAGTTCCACCCTGCATGCCCTAAAGGGCTGGGTCACATGCAGGGGACGAGGTAGCCCAAGAAGGCAGTGACCAGCTGAGGATGCCATTAGGTCAGCCTGGCAGTGGAAATAAGGCAGGATCTCATGAGTGCCTTTGATCCTCAAAACCAAACAAAATCTCTGGAGATGGTCTCTGCCCTCAAGGGATCTCCAGGCCCTCTTCAGTTAGTAAGAATCTTTTCGCTGATTAAATTGCTATCTCTGGCTCTGCTCTGCATAACCCTCTATTAGGACCCCAGGTGGCCACAGCAACATCAGCCATGGAGTAAAGAAAGGGCCAGAAGGTGGCCTCCAATCACAGGTGGCTCTGAATCCCACAAGTTGTGTGCTAGCCTGTATGAATACCAGCTCTGAGACAACTCTTCCTCCTAGGAAAGACAAAAGGGACTCTGATGGGCCCTTAAAGGACAGAAAATAAAGGGCCTCCAGGGAAACACAGGCAACAGCAAACAAGGTGTAGGTACTACAGAGGGTTTGGGAAGGCTTGCTGGTACATGGCCAGAGGAAGGGTGACTCAAGTAAGAGTCTGGGGTTTTGGAGTCTAATGGTGTTGGGGCCAGACAGGAAGCACGTGTGAGGCCTTGGGGCCTTGGAGCTCCCTGATCATAGCCTGGGAAGATGACCAGCTCAAGCAGGAGTCTAAGGCTGATGGGGATGCAAGATACATGTAGCTGGCTGCTCTCTGGCTCTCGGGCCCTGGGCGGGTATAGCTGGTGGAGGGGGAGCACTCTGTACCGTTAGATCCCTCCAAGGTTCTGACTTGCAGCCCCTGGCTGGCTACTGGGCCTTTATCATAGCTTTTGCCCTGAGCTGTTCCCAAACCCAGAGTCCCACCCTATGGTGCTCTGGTGAGGACCCTTCACTGCTGGTCCTGAGTTTCAGGTGAGCTCCCCGATGATATGCAGCAGGCAGGTCCCTCTGGGACTAACTCAGCCAGGCTGTCCACTGTGTTCCAGGGCCTCAGCTAGGGGGATGGACCTTCTGGAATGCCGGGTGGAGTACGGGTGGTGGAACTGGCCTTCTTGGCTTCAGCCTTGGCACTTCACTCCCTACACCTGCTTTCCAGACTGGGCTGTCGAGGTTGGCACTAGGCAGTGAGACACACAAACCAGGTTGCCAGGGACCAAGAAACTACAGGATCCCACATAAGACAAAGAAAGACAAACACTCCTCAGGGGAAAAAAAAAAAAAAAGGATAGATAGATCCAAATCAGAAGAACTAAAACACCATGAGAGAGATCTCTACAGGGTCATAGTTTAAAGGCAATTGCACATGAAGGGGGCTGAACTTTCCACTCATCTGGAGAAAATTCCAGAACTCCCATGGGAGCCTCCAGACAGCCCCCTACAAATGGTTCCCACGGAGTTGGACCATCCCGCTGGTGCTGGAAGCAACAGAAGTGGCAGATTCTGGATTAGTCGGGTCACCTGCTAGAGCTCTTCAAAGAAAGCCACTCGGGACTTGGCACTCTGCAAAGTAAGCTGTAAGAGAGCAGAAAAAAAAATTGTAGAGGCCCTGGGTTTCTGTTCCTTCACACAGGAGCCTGTCCTATAGCAGAGACTAATCTCAAAGATAGTTTGGAGTGACAGAGATGCCTGTTCAAATAGATGTTCAACAAGTTGGTGATCAAGCCCAAATATATTTGTCCCAGAACTTAAAATTAGGTGACAAATAATGACATGCCAGGAGTGCTAGCTGGTGGGCAGAAGCATGTCAGCAGGAAAATGTCACTAATGTTGCCTTTCTACAGGGTCCCTAGGTATTTTGCTAGAGTCTCAAATTGCTGTCTACAAGTCTCTGAGATGCTACCTTTGTGCTGTGCGTCTACAGAGAAACCAGCTGGGGATGCTCATTTTCTCTGGGCTCAGAGAAGCCATGAGCAAGTGTCTGGCCTCAAGCCCTGGAGCAGAATGGCAGGTGTGTGTCAGATGAGGACAAGCTTGTCCCTTCTGCTCCTGGTTCCCCAGGTGTCCCGCAAGCAGACCTGCCTGTGATCCAGCAGCTGAGAGGGTTTCTCTTCATGAGGTGGGAGGCAAATGGCTGTAGATGGGATTGGTTCAGGAGGAGGAGTATTCATGAGCTGCACTCTGGTCGGCAGCTGTGGGGAGGACACTGCCTGAGGTCAGCATCAGGAAGATGTAAAAGCAGAGGGGTGGGCTGGAGGCCAACCCTGGGTGTGGCAGGTTGTGCTTCCTGAGTCCCTGATTCTCGGGCACTTCCTAGATTTCCTCCAAATAGAAGCATCTGGCACAGGCCCCCTCCACTGCCTGTGCCCTGCTCTGTGCCTGAAAATGATTCCTTGAGGTAAGACTGGATTCTAGATCCAGCTCCACAACTCCCTACAGGAGTCCACACTCTTCAACTTCATATTTTATCTTAGGTGTCCAGTAACAAGTGGGAACACAGATCTGATCTATGTGAATGGGACACAGATTATAATGTAACTAAATGGTGAGCTGCAGGGAAACGACAAGAGCTGCACACAGGGATGACCACTGTGCTCTGTGCATAGCTCACTGTGTGGCCTTCCTTACTGAGCAGCCCTGACCTCTCTCAGCCTTTCTTCTCTTGAAATAAGCCACAGGTAGGCTAGGTGGGCTGGTCCTTTCCCCGACCTCAGCCCACCCTCCGAATCTGAAGGGTTCTCAGCACTACCCAGAGTGCTGCAAAGGCTGGGGAGAGAGACTCCAAAGCGACCGCTTCACCATCAAAAGACAGGCAAGCATTAGTGTGCTCAAAATGAGACAGCTTGAGAGCCGACTCTTTAAATTCTGCCAAATCTTTTGGCCTTGAAGTTCCCGACTAACAAGCTGAATGCAAGGAGGCATCTGAGCTGTTTTCTTCAGTGGAACCAATTCCAGGAGCCCTCTGGAAGCCCAGATCTGATGGGAATGTAGAGCTTCTCTTTGCTCAATCCAAACTCCCTCCAGATGGGAACTGTATCTGGATGGGCTTCTTCAGCGCCATCAGAGAAGGGGCAGGATTGTGTGCCCTGTGAGAATGGGGACTAGGATGATAACCTGGTAGACAGACACTCAGCTGCCTGGGAGCCTGAGACAAAAGGCCTCTGTGGGAAGGGTGTAAATCCAAAGGTGAGCAGCCCATGTCTCTGCTCAGGTTTCCCCACCTCTGAGAAGACTTCAAGAGTCTCCTCAGGGAACAGGCAGCCTGGAGGGGCCAGGGCCATGCCCACAGCCACTTGGAGTCAGACACAGCGACACCTGGGCCAAAGCCCATCTAGCCCAGTGACCAGCTGGGCAGCCATGGGCAGGTCATTCACTCCCTCTGGTCTCAGGTCTCTGCTGTGAAGTGGGGGTGGCAGTGCCCTGTCTTCCCAGGGTGTGTGCAGAGAAACTGGGAAATGTGTGTGCAGCGCTCAGCACTGCGCTGGCGCGTGCAGAAAACCCAACAGCTGTTAGTACTAATAGCGGCGTCACATTTCTTCCCCCATCCAGCACACTGGCTGTTCTCCTTCCAGGGGAAGCAGAGCAGAGTGATGTCTAGAAGGGGTGGAGGTAAAAGCAAGGCCATGTGCAGTGCTGGCCTTTGAGTGGGGCAGGCATTGCCCCAAGAGGTCTGGCCACTTCCCCAGGCAGGAAGCCCAGGCTGTGGGGCCTGTGAGAGCATCCTGCCCATTTGCACCATGTTGGCTCCAAGAATTCCTGGATCCTCTATCTGAGGAGCATGCTGGCTATCCCTTCGAGGTGCCAAGGGAGGGCTCTGGCAGCACCAGATTCCAGTTACTCGAGCATGTGTTTGTTAGGATGCAAAGCTCTCTTTGGCAGGTCAGATGCTGCCCAATCCCCACTGCACTGCAGCCCAATGTCTTTTCTTGCCAAAGAGTTTGACCTTAGCCCTAAGGAAAGGAAGGGCTCAGAGGAGAGCTGTTACTCCCACAGTCTTCCAGAACAGGCGGCTGAGACCTGGCTGCACTGGTCAGTGATGGGTGCTGACCTCCTGTGGCTGGAAGCCTCCTGTGGTCACTGCCTGGCTTATACACAACCTGGCTGCTGCCCCAACTTCTACGCTCACCATACAGTTCCTGGCACTCCCAATCCATCTGGAACCTTGAAGTCTGAGGAACTGACTACACAAACTTACTTCCCATTTCTGGAACTTTCTAGATGCCACCATGCCCTTTGTTTCATCCTTAATCTCAGACATCAAATGCTCTCCTCCTGACAGGACCAGGAGGCATGATTTATGCTACAGAGCCGAGAGAAGGCAGGCAGTGCCATAAAGGCCTTTAAGGAGAAGCTTTGGGGTTCATTCCTTCAGGTAGGAGCTCAGGGGACCTGCCAGCCTCAGGGAAGAAAGAGGTCTGCTAGAGAGCAGAAAGCTCTTCCCTCAGGGCACTGCTAACAGCTTCTGCCAACTGTACTTCCTGCTAGGTATACCACTGGGTAGGCTTGCCTTACCTGTGGGCCCTTTGCCACCTGCTATAACTAGAATAGGGCCCATGCCTGAAAGCCTGCTGTCACATTTATAGCATTGCTATAGGCAGCAAGTATTCATAAAGGAAAAGGTGAAGGCTCAGAGGAAGTGGCACAAAGCTAGCCCTTCATAAAATGAGCTGCTTTTATGGGTCTTCTTTTTCCACTCATGAAAATAAATTAACAAGCTTCCTAGCTTCCCTGTGATTCTCTGATATCCGAAGGTGCATGAGCTCAGCACTGGGTCCATTTGCTGCTTGGTGACTGACCTGGCTCTCTCTGCACAGCACAGTGACACCTCTGCTTGTCAGCTACTCCCATGTTGCACTATGAATCTAGAATTGAAAGAATCTAGTGAGTCCCACCCACCATGGAAATTCTAAGCCAAGATGCCTGTGCTCCTGGCAATATAGCAACAGCCTGCCCTGTCCCCAGACATCCCCAGGAGGGAGTAACCCCACACATGCAGGGTGTGGGCTCTTCAAATACACTGCATTTCAGCAGGCGATGAAACTGAAAAGGCTCAGATATGGGCATACCACCAGGCTTTTATGGACAGTGGCTGTATCACTCTCCCCTGATCTGGTAGACCCTCTTTTTTTTTTTTTTTTTGGTGGGGTGGTGGTAGTTGTGGTGGTGGTGGTGGTTTCAAGACAGTCTCACTATAATTCAGGCTGCCTCTGAACTCATTATGTAGCCCAGGCTGGCCTCGAACTTCGGGCAATCCTCCTGCTGATTGTGGGATTACACTCCTGAGTGCTGGGATTATAGGCATGTGCCACCATGCCTAGCTTGGTAGACCTCCTTCTGTAGACAAGTGAGTGGAGTTCTACTAAATATGATTAGTGACCATACATGTTACACACTGTGCTTCAGAACTGTTATGGCTTACTATCCGGTTGTCCTCTTTTTTCTTTTTTGGCCAGCTCAGCCCACCCTGAGGGCGAGGCTGGGGCAGCATGTGGTGCTGGGGATTGAACCACAGTCCCCTGAGCCTGCCTAAGCTTGCCTACACAGGCACTTTAGACCACTGAGCTAATCTCACCAGCCCCACAGCATATTATCTGGATGTCCTCCCAAAGCCTCATGTACTCATGAGATCTTTTAGCAAGGGACTGGATCATGGATGGGATATTGGATTAGTCCACTGAATAGTTTAAAATAGTACTGGGCATGGACAATGGATTTACTGAAGAGGTAAAATCCACCTTGAATGCGGGCAGCATCAAGAAATAGGCTTATAGCCTGGAGGAAATAAAAAGAGAAAGAAGGAAAACTTACTGCCTTCTGCCTGCCACACCATGAACTGTTTCTGCTCTGCTACCCTGGGCTGGAACCAGTGGACTATGGACTGAAACCTCTTTAATCTGTGAGCTAAAATAAACCTCTCCACCTTTAACTTGTGAGTATCCAGTATTTTGCTCCAGCAATGAGAAAGTAACTAAAACAGGAACTCACACTGAATTCACACAAGACCAGTTACAAGTGTCCTGGCAGTCAGGCAAGCTCCTCTGGGAAGCCTAGAAACCACAAGGGCCCTTCTTAAAGTGTCCACCCCAAGGTGTTCTCACCAGTTCCCTAAAGATGGCAAAAAGAACATAAAGTCTCCTCACCAGTCATTGGGCTGACCCACTGCTCTATTCCAGCTGTCTCTTCACATCTGATTAGAATCAGTCGTGTGAATAATACAGGAGGAATTAAGTTCTCTCTTGACTGAGCCGGCTGTTCAAGTCTGTCACTAATCCAATTCCATTCTGAAGAGACCAGACAGACTTCCTTTTCTTTCTCAGCAGCAGATCTGTAAGGCTTTGTTTTATCTTAAGGGGCCTCTGATCCACCCTTGGGGGCCTGGCTCCTCCTTCCTGTCCAGCATCAAAAGACTCCACCCCTGGCAAAGTCACCTTTCCTCCCACCCACTGCTCCATCAAAAGGCTACTTGTTTGTGACAGCAACCAGGCTGTAGGCAGGCAGGAGAGGAAGCCACTTGGCAGATGGCCTCCTCCTGTTCCCCAAAATGTGTGTGATGTAACAGAAATGGCAACATCCAC